TACGGCTATTTCTGCGTTTCATATTCCTGTTGACGGTGCTCTCTTGGGGCAGCACCCTCTTGTACAGCGCTTTTTAGCAGGCGTGGACAGAATCCGTCCGGTTGTCCGACGGATTAGTCCCCCGTGGGACTTGTCAATCGTTCTTGATTGGCTGTCCGGTCCACTGTTTCACAATCTGTCGGCTCTTTCCCTCCAGCTGTTGACGTGGAAGACGGCGTTTCTTGTGGCGGTGACTTCTGGCAGGCGGGTTGGCGATATTCATGCAATGTCGGCCGATCCAGCTTACTGTTTTTCACAAAGACAGAGTTAGCATTCGGCTGCCTGAGACTTACCGTCCTAAGAAGGATAGTCCCTTCCATGTGACGGCGCCTATTGAGCTCCCAGCTTTCACTCAGCCTTCCCTGTCCGGTACCTCTCTACGGCGTGCTCCGCCTTAGATGTCCGTAAGACACTTCAGGCTTATATCAAAGCGAACAAGGGGTACCCGTAAGGGTAACCAATTGTTTTGTTGTTATGGCGGGGTTCAGGCTGGTCTTCCGGCGACCAAGCAGACCATTTCTCGGTGGCTTGTCTCTGCCATACATATGAGTTATACTCAAACAGGGCGTATCCCGCCTGTTGGGTTGAAAGCTCATTCGGTTAGGGCAGTGGCTACATCGACAGCTTACGCTGCAGCCCTGCCCATTGAGGAGATCTGCTCCGCGGCTATTTGGAGCCGTCCGAGTACGTTCATCCGTCATTACCAACTTGACAGACTCTCCAGTGAGCGTGCTCGGTTCGGTCAGTCAGTTCTCTCCAGTGGGCATGGTTCCACCTCTCTAGCCGATTGAGCTTTCGAGGTTTTTAAAAACATTATTGTGTGAACCATTATCTGCCAATTTTTAACACTGGTGTTGGGTTTTACAAATCTTGTTACATTTTTCCCTTGGTGATGGGTTTTATGTGGTGCTGGTTTTTTATTCCCATGTCTCTTGCTTTCTAACCGAGAAGCTCTAGACTAAACTGCCCTTGGAAACTTTGCTGTTCATATTCCGGCATTTCGTTTCTGGGTTTATTGCGGGACCCTTATCTTCACTTCCGAGTAGATTACGGGAAGGAGGGAGGGTGTGTCTCGTTCGTTGCATTAGCTTGAGGTTTCGGCTGGACAAATTTGCATCATGCACTCCCTGACCCTGGCTCATGCCCCGCCTGATTGGCTTTGGTGGACACGTGACCGGGTAAGTGTGCCTTTTCTGCTATAATTAGCTTGGGAAATTCCACTTCTTGTCGGGGGTGTTTAAGCAGACAGAATGCCGCTCCTGAGATCCGTCTTTAGGAGTCTGTCTTATGCTTATAAGTACCCCAAGGAGGAATATATAAAAAAGAATCGAACTAACCTGTAGAGGTTTAAGATTCTTTGAATATATTCCTCCTTGAAGTACCACCTCCTCCCGATTCTGTCTGACTCTTAGCTTCAGCATGGAAAGTGACTCTCATAACTCTCTTAGTCGCAAGGAAAAACCTTCTGGTATGGACCCACGTCTTGTCGGTACAACGACAGCATGGAAAGTGAGGTACGAGGTTACGGTCTAGAGTTACCTGCTCTTGGCTGTAGGGGGCCGGAAGGCCCTGTAAGGGTGGTCTCACAAGACAAAACGTAGTTTTTGTTTTGTAAATATTTTATTCAAATATTGTTACAACTGTCGTAGGGAATTTAAATGGACATTTAAATGCTTATAAGTACCCCAAGGAGGAATATATTCAAAGAATCTTAAACCTCTACAGGTTAGTTCGAATATTTTGAATATGGTATATTAACTTTGTATATATTTTATTTCAGACCGGACTTAGACGAGTCAATGGTAGTTCCTATGAAAACTCAGGCCGCGAGTCAAGGGCACACGAGACAGAGTCAGTTAATCCAACAAAGAAGAAAGATGGTGGTCACAAGACTGCATTTGACACAAAGTGGCAACAAAACCGTCCCTGGTCGAGGTACTCAGAAGATGACAAAAAGAAGGGAATTATGTTTTGTTCATTATGTTCTAAGTGGAACACCGAGGGCAGAAATGGACTTATGTCGACCAAACACAGATTGAGTGGAGTCAAGTAAAGGAGCTGTTTTTAGGGGAGCTTCACCAAGTCACCCTCCACCATTTTGAAGACCCTCACCAGCCTCAAGCCTCAACTTGGAAACTTGAATCCAAATATTGTTTAATTACTGTCCATTCATGCAACTGTGATTGTCCACTTCTGAAGTTGAGTGAGTGTTCTCAAAAGTGAAACTGACTGTGACAGATCATCAGTGTTCAGAAATTGCAACAGACTATGATAAATGAACTTTGACTTGAAGAAAGTTGTGAACAGATACTAGTACTTGGCAAGAGAAGACTGTAAATTGTTGTTTGCGTGTTTTGTGAAATTGTAAACAAATTTTGATCTTAAAATACAAAATGAGAAGAGTAATAAATGAACTTTAGAAATAAAATTATAAGAGCATTTGACTTCATATACATTTTGTTCCTGTTATTTTTTCAATAATCCTCACCAAAATGCCCTTTTAGATTATGAAGTGCCCTTTTCTTTGAAGTTACCCTGCCCTTTCTAAATCCTAGGGGGAACACTACTCAAGAACCATTCACTGGATTTTGTTCATATTTGATGCCAAGCTTCATCCAGGGAAGGCGCAGGGCCCAGTTGATTTTGATGACCTTCACCTAATTTCCAAGGTCACAAAGACACTTTGAAGATTTCAGCATGTTAAATTGCATGTTAAGATAGTCCGCAAGATATCACAAAAACAATGCACTGGATTTTTTTCATATTTGACACCAAGCTTCATCTAATGAAGGCGCAGTGTATTTCATACACTATGACATTCATGTCAAGGTCCAATTCAGTCTTGAAAATATTGGTGTGTTTTAACAACTAAAGGGCAAGATATCAAGAGAGGCTGACTGGACATGTTTTTGTTCACATTTAACTTCATCTTAAACTTTCATTACTTTTTAAGTTTGATTTGATAATTTGCGGCGGGGATTATGTCACCTTAGTGACAATGCTTGTTTTTGAAACACTTGACTGAATATTTCTTGAAGACTCTGGGAAGTTTATGTTCATGATATATTAGTCATCACTTTAAAGTAGCAAGTTGCATAATTTTACATTGGATGTGAAATTTTGCAAATGCATCTTGTGCAGTTCCTAAATATAACAACACCAAAAAACCAGATAACAATATGTTTTTTTCTTTACACTTATCTGCAAATATAAACCTGAACAGGAAAGTGAAAAATGATGCTAACCTTTTTTTTTCAATGATTGCGCGTTAGTTATGAACCAATCATGGATTATGTGATTTCAACTAATTCCCAACACTAGTTGTCAGAAGTGCTGGTTATCACTCACAATATGCAGATTGATAATCAGAGCTGAGTAATCGATCAATAATCGATTGTAATTGGAAACCGCCCACAAAACTCATGGGGGCAGTACCTGGACACAGTCATAATATTGTGTAAATGAATCCGGACCGATAAATATCCTGATCAGTATATCAAGGATAGTTATGGTTGTGACACTCAAGTAAGTATGTTTACATTGCTGTTTCATAAGTCAAGAAACTGCATCAGTTGCTTATGTCTTGATTTGACAAACATTACAATAAGAAACGTACTTTTAAAAGTTTGATTTCATTTTCCTTTGTTATGAAAATCAATAAGTATCCGAAGCCCATCAATAATCACTGACACAAGTGAGATTGACTGATTGACCAATTATTCAATCAGTTGCTTCAGCACTAGCCTCAGCTATTGTATTGCAGTACTATTTAACCAACAAGAAGGGCTTGATAATTACAATTTACGTAATAAAAATGAATAAAGTATTGTTGACATTGTCCTGGGATCATTTTGGACCATGCCCTTTTGATATATGCACACTGTAATATTTAATGGCACATTGAAAACAACATCAGGGGCCCTAATGTCAAGTACTAATTGCAAATGGCCCAATCAAAGGCAACACCCCAGCCCTCATTAAAATATACATTGTGAGGGTGGGGTTGAATCCATGGGGTCATGGATTCTCATTCTTTGGATAGCTCAGTGGTTTCATAAGTTATCCATAGCAAAGTGCTTACTAGGTATGTTCAAAGACCAAAAATGATGAAACTGCGCCTTCATTCATTATCCCCCCCAATGCGTTTTGCGGGGGTGGGGTGTGTGTGTGTGTGTGTTAAAAAGGACTCCGTCCGTGCATCCGTCCATCCGTCCATGCACTTTTGTCTTTTCCGGAGCAGAACTCTAAAACCGTTCACTATTTCTTCACCAAACTTGGCACATAGATTGGTCTGGCAGTGTACTGGTGCCTTTTGGTAGTTTTGGATTTCTGAAAAATATATTTTGGGCATTTCCATGGCAACAAGCTTGACTAAAACTGAAATTAGTGGTAGTGCTCTTGTCCGGAGCAGAACTCTAAAACCATTCAATGTTTCTTCACCAAACTTGGCACATACATATATCTGGTGGTGTACTGGTGCCTTTTGGTAGTTTTGGAATTCTGAATAAAATATTTTGGCGTTTCCATGGCAACAAGTTTCACTTTGACTGAAATTGGAGATAGTGCTATTTTCTGGAGCAGAACTTTAAAAACCTTTCAATACTCTCCTTCCACGTCTCTATATACACACCTAAATATTTGACATAATCATAACTCGTAGACATAATCATGAAGGGTATTTTGCCATTGCGGGGGATATTGATGACTTAGTCTTCTTGTTTAAATTCATATGAGTATCAACTGACACAGATTTTAGTAAGGCCAAGCAATGTAGTCCATTGTCAAGGCTTACAACCTAAGGGACAACAATGGAAGGAATTCAAGTTGTCAACCTCTACAACTTACTTCCCTTTATAACTAAGAAGAAAACACACAGGGTTTTAAGAAGCTTGTTTAGAAATCTGCAGAAGTGATGGCACAGTGTATAAACGTAACATTAACATGTGTATTTTGTGTTTCAGATAACCAACAGCATAGAACAAGATCTGTTACCTAGTCTCCCTGCCTCGCCCCCTGATGTGGAAGCCCTAAGGGTGTTCCTCATCCTCCCAGAATGTCATCTCTTTGACCAGCCAAAGTATTACAGCTCCCTCATCTGCCCATTTGGGAAAAACATCCTCAACCTTGACCGAGTGGCGTCCAAAGTTCTAGGTGAGGGTCAATCATGTGCAAGGCCTTCCTCTATATGGTCTCTATATTACACTGCCAGGGGTGTAGCTACCATTATGAAAACAGCCTGGGCTTACACATGATTTTAAAAATGAATGTTTGGCAAGCCCTCAATACTATCTAAATATAAAGCTTGGCGACCTATTGGGCTTCCACGAAAAAGTTGACTTGCTACGCAGCTGACTGCAGCCATGCTCTTCATAGCTACATGTATTTTAGACAGAGATCGAAGTCAGTATTTATGGACATTGTTAGAGTTGGTACCAAAATACCCAAGCTGGTTATATGAGGCAACCAAATGGTAAGGCTGAGTGATTGTGTGTTGATGTACCCTGATGGTATGAATTGTTGTTCACAGTGTCAATCACTGGATTTTCTGGCCCAGACTTGATTATTTGCCATCGTATTGCTAAAATATTTTTTAGTGCAGCCATAAATAATAGACAGCATATTGCTGTTGTGTTATTTTGTTTTTATTTTAACCAACCAATATAGCAGATGTCATGTTGTATTGAACGAGTTGCCATATGGTGCTCTGATCACGTCAGCATGTTTGTTTTGCTTGATGACCTTTAAACCATGGACTCGATGCATTATTGAGAACTTTGATCGAGTGAACTGTCACAAAACATTCATACAAGTCTTTACCTTGATGCCGGTACATACTCAAGTATTTACACAGTGAATAAGGTATTGTTGACATTGTCCTGGGATCATTTTGGACCACTTTTAGTTTGATTTCTTCCAATCTTTCAGATTTATGGTGGTCAGCATTACCGGAGACATATTTCCACAGAATTGTCAGCGTAAGTTGAATAGATGCAGCCATGTCATGCTACCCAGCCATAAAGGGTTTGCTATTAGATGTTTATATTCCATGACTCCATATATGTAGCCCAGGCAGGCTCTTTAGTCTGGCTACTGCTGAAAGCGAGGGGAGGGCTGGCATCATCATTTAAAGATGGGGGCCACCCATAGCAACCCTCCCCACCTCAAGCTTAAAGGCCGGGGTTCAAACCTATACACAAATTGGGTGTGGCCTCCTTGCCTTGTCAAAGCTGTCCTTAGATGCAAAGCAATGTAGTATTCAAGTACATTCCATGAAATATCACAAAACTGACTTACCGGTTCAGGCTGATATTAAGTCATAGTATAAAGAAGTATGTTGTGAAGACTCACAGCAAAATGTATGGATGCAGAGTCTACAAAACATACAGTTTGAAAATATATTTCTCATGTTTAAATCCAGATTTGAATTTCGCACTGTGTCAGTCAGGTGGCCAAAGGAGGTGTGTTTCCATAGAAACAAGCCTTGGAGTGGGAAAATGTTTCATTCAGGGTTTCATATTTCAGGCAGGCTGGGAAAATGCCCCCATCCCCCACTCCCCTGACACCATGCTGTGCAGGGCTAGGGTTGTACACTTATCTGATGCTGACATCTCTTTGCTGAAGATTTTATATTCATAATATAAGTAAAATTGATGTTTCATATATGCTAATCAAATTAATCTCTTTAGTCATCAAAATATGAAGTGAAAGGGTTGTTGGACATTTACTATAAGGCACATGTTTATTCTAGTAGTAAATTCCAAGGTTAACCTTTGACATTGCCAGGCTCTTGCCAGGCACCCATAGCCGTTACAGCCTTGTCACTCACGGGCTGATAACATCTTCACTGCTGAGGGGTAGCAAATGGGAGACTATTTGGAAACCCACCAGGGTTTTGGACGTTTGCGCCCCGGCCTTTAACTTGCACTATTTCTCCACTCTAACATTGTATGTGTTAACATAATTGGTGTTACTTGTGGCAAACCATAAATGAAGATTTATTACTGTCTGTAGAAATCTGAACAAGAGGTTAAAATAAACAAAACCAACCTGGAATGCTGTAACATGGTAAAGTGTTTAAATATGTGTCACAATTATCTTATCTGGGTTTTCTCAAGAAAATGTTTACATTATCTTGAAGCCCCAATTACCCTCTGCCAGATGTAATTGTCAGAGTTTATTCAAGCAGGGTTGGTTTTCACATGACGCAAATATAGGTTTCATTCAGACAGTGTAGCAGAGTGTAAGGTTCTTGTTGATGATTCTAGTAGTATTGCTGTGAAAGTTTGAGGCTGTATTTTGTGTATTCTAAATGGAGAAAGCCTAAGTGTTATTTCCATTGGAATTTGTATTCAAAATGGAGAAAATATGTGAAAATCACTTTATAAAATTGGAATTACTGTGTCGGATATGTGCTGGGAGACTTACACCATTTGGTAAAAAGAGTACTGCTAGGCCATGTAAGAAGTACTTTGGCAGACTTTATCATGTGTATGGTATAGATGTGTTATCTGACAATAGTTTCCACCCACAGTTTTTCTGTGCAACCTGTTACAACAGGACATTCACTCACAAACAAAGGAAAATGCAGGATACTATCAAAGGAGATAAATTTGATAATGTTTGGGAGGTGAAGCAATGTGACAATGACTGTTGGGTATGTGTACAATTTAAAAACCAAAGTAAAGGGGGAAGGCCAAAAAAATATAGACAGAAAAGGGCAAATGATGATGTTCCAGTCCCCACAAAAAGAGTGAAAAAATCATAAGGGCTCTTCTCATTGTTATATTAATACACATGGATATAACCCGTCAATAATACATTGTACAGCATATCCCAATAAATGACAATCGTTTATACCATGTAAACGGCGAATTGTGGATAACCTGTACCCTGACGATGACAAAATATGTATAATCTATCATTGAGAATTTGGATACCCTGTCAGTGACATTTTGGATACCCTGTCAATGTCAATTGTGGATACCCTGCTGGTGACAGTCTGTGGAAATCTTTATGGACACTAGATCTCATATACAAGGGTGATATCGACACTTGCTTCATCTGTATGTACATATTTCTCATATTAACTGCAGTGGATGGATTAGCAGTTTCAAAACAGTGAGTCCAAATTTGTTATTATTATGAAATCAAATACCCTGCTTGAATATGATTGCATGACTATTGGTAGAATTAGTTATCATACTCAGTATACAGATACATGTACATGTATATTGAAGTGCAGGAATAACTCTACAAAGACCTTTTAAAGTGATTTGAAAATGGACAAATAAATCATGTTATAAAGTTTCAAAAATGTATATTGAATGTCAACTTTTTGACTGAATATATTCACACTAACGGATTTTATGTAGCATGTGCGACCTAGATCTGGGCTCAGGAATGTATAGGCCAACTGCATCATCGCCTTATCTTTCTCTGTCTTCCTGACTCAGCCAGCTATGCTGCTGTGTACCAGCTGAGTTGCCTGGTCCTAAACAGCTGTAATATAATCTTTCAGCACACATCTGTATCACTATTTCGTTTGTTACCAAATATCTGGGGGCAAGGGGGCCCCAGTCATGTCATGATTCTGTACATTGACTTATAAAAATATCTTAAAAGTCTTTATAGAATTAGTAATGATTTTGAAGAAAATCCGATGAATGATAGTGAGAGAGGTTGCATCCCTCCAGCATTCCGAAATATTGTGAATCCAGGTGAACAATGATAAATAAATTTCAGTATGGCTGTTAATCTTAGGCCACCCTTTTTAAATAACTTGGATTACAGATTTTTTTCAACTGAAATGCATAGTTGGAGGGGGGAGATCATTTCAAAAAAATTTATTTGGCGCTTTGACTTGACATATCAAAATGAAAACACTATTAAGTCAGACAAGATGTGTTTTATGCAGTTCTTGTACAAATGAGTTTGAAAATACAGGTAGTTCAGTTGAAGAACTGTTATTCTGTAAACATCGGGAGTAATGATTCAATTATTTATTATCTATTTCTGAAATACAAATACTGTCATTAAGCTTTAAGAATGTTGTTCAGTTTAGAAGTCAAATATTATATGAAAACGTATTAGACTAAGGGAGCAAAGGGAACTAACTCTGTCACTGGAAGTTTGTTTGCAGACGAAATATTTAAGTAAAACTTCACATTAAATTAATAAATTTACAATTCTGAGCAAGAAGAATTCTGCATTTTGTTGAAAAGAAATGCATGAAAATCGCATGCCTCTTTTCAGGTCATATGTTCTTGTTGAGGAGATCAAATACTTTTATCGATGCAATGGTGATTTCTCAGCCGGGAGTTTTCATTATCGTAGGCTCGACATTTGCATCCTCCACACGTATGTGTATGTAACACCTATTGCTAACGTCAATAAGTGACTTGAAAGTGAACAGTCAGGTCGATGGATAGATCTTGTTTTGAATTTTCACCAAAGGCAGACAAGATGATGTTATTTTGGTTCAAGAAGTTGCCTATAAAAAGAGTTATGTCTACAACATGTAATTCCTTCCTATTCCCATGTCTGCCGCAGTCTATGCAAAAGCAAATTGTTTCTGACATATCGTCAACGTCAAACGTGTATCAATATCAAAACCTGTCCGATTCCCATCGTGTTTGCCCGCCATTTGCAGACGACGCTTAGAGGGTGCTTTAGTCAGGGGCACATAACCCCTATTTGTTTACCACAACTATGAGAACGATCGAGAAAGCCATTTCAGTTCATATTTCCTAAACAGGGTAAAAATTGCAAACAAATATGCCGTTATATTTCCTTCTTTTTTTCTCCCGAGTAGTCAATTTCCAATTATTATTTTTTTTCTAATTTCTAGAAATTTAGGGTCAGCGGGTAGGTAATACAAGTTATTAAAAAAGGGTGCCCTTATATATAGTTTGTTTTACTCAAAATGAGAACAATTTCTCATTTGGAGACTTACAGACTGCAGAACATGAATTTGATGGATAAATGATCACCACATGTAATTCCAGTTTCGTTCTCTTGACAGTCCTATTATCCTAATGTATGTAATAGCCTCCTTTGTTGACATATGCCCTTATCGACATATATTGATAGACACCTTGTATGATCTTGTGTTTGTATTTCCAGGTGTATAAGCAGTGTGTCCAGTATGTCCTGCAGCTGCCAGACACTACAAATCCACATGAGGTATGGCAGAAGTCTTATAGAGCAGTGGCTTTCCTTTCTTGTTGGACCACCTCCATGGTGTAGTGGTTAGAGCGTCCACCCGGAGAGCAGAAGGTCGTGGGTTCGATCCCCGACTGTGTCATACCAAAAGACGTTAAAATATGGTACTTGTTGGTCCCTGCCTGACGCTCGGTGTTAATGGGTGCTTCTCGAACACCTGGCTGTCCCTTTCTCTGCACTCCTCCCTCGTAACAAACAGTGAACTTTGTCAATATTTTAATGATAGTTTGTTAAACAACTTTATTATTTTTAGGACAAAAATTCTGCAAAAACCTCACAGAGTGGGTATGATGTTTTGATTATGATCAGGGTTTCATTGAGTATTTTATGTTTATTAGTTTTCCAGTTAGATTGCAATTCATCGGTCCGCTTTTGAGCCAAACAGACTGTAGCTGGAATATTGCTGAGTGTGGCGTAAAACTAAACTCACTCACTCTCTCACTCACTCACTCACTCCAAAATAGGCCAAGGCTGAGAATCCAGGGTGAAAAGTGATCACAACTTCTGAGATGTAATGTGAGATGGCCAAGACAAGCATGCCCCCTTTGTATATGCAGGAAAAGCTTTTGGATAATTCTGTTCTGAAACTTTCAGTGGCCCACATGATCAGACTCCACTGGTCAATGCAAAACGCTTTTCCATATGCAATTGTGTTGAGGTTTTTTGTTTCAGAGTGAAAAGCGAGGCAAGGGCCTATATGTGTCACTGGAGATCTTAAAGAAGCTGAATGTGGTCAATGAACAGAATGGGCAAATTATTCCCTATCACAAGTTTTATGTAGGGGAACTCAAGGACAAAATCAACATCAAAGCTGACTATGTCAGTTGGGTGCAGCAGAACTCCAGACTAAGGCAACAGGTGGGGACATTGTGGAGATTCCTTTTTTTTTATTACCTGGTCAAAAAAAATTGTTTCATTTTAACTTCCAGACTAGTACTGCTGAAACAGTACATATTTGGTACTGACAATTTCTGCTGTATTGTGCAGGGTCTCCACTTCTGTAACTACCCATTCCTGTTTGATGCGGCTGCCAAAAGCATGCTCTGCAGACCGATGCTATGATGCAGATGCAGGTACGTTGCCACAGAGCAACTGTTGCTTACACACCTGTAATAGTCACCTGAAAGGGATGCCTAAGTCACATACTGTAACTATAGAAAACCTTAAGCCTGTAATAGATAAAAGTAGTATACTGAGAGAAACAAATGAAAGAACACAGGAAAATTCAAACATTCCTTTAATATTTTGCAGTTTTCATCACCAGCTTTGAATAGTGCTGTGGGAGGAAAACTGAGAATAAATAAAGGGAACACTGCCATGAAGTGGTGTTCCCTTATTTGTTTCCCTCAGTATTATTGAGATATATGTCAGTTTTCAGATAAATATCAGTCTGAAAGTCCTGTTTGGATTCTAGAGTAGGACAGGTGCGTGGGGATTTTGTTCAGAATATTGGTGCATTAAACAAGACACGAACCCTTTTAATTTGAATGTGCTGTGGGTGATCTAATATTGCCTGATGCTTTTAAGGACTTTTTCCTTTTGTTAAGATTTGAAATGTTATTTTGCAGACTGCGATAGATGAAGTTGCTCAGAGGAATTTCTCAAGTCTCTTCCTCCCTATCGACCCAGTGAACCCATGTCTCGTCTTATTTGTTAGTCGTGAAAATTTGGTCCAGGACACTCTTCAGCAGCTCATTAAGTATACAAGTGCTGACCTGAAGAAACCTCTCAAAGTAAGACCAATGCAAGACATTGCGAAGGATCAGTCATTTATGAATGTGAGCGAGAGAGATGCATTTATATCAGACATTTTGGTCACACTCACATAGTTAAAGCCAACCTTCTAGAAACTGTCCTATCCCAAAATATCTTCAATGATGACACCTACCATGATCAGGTATTCAACAAGAATGGGACAACACTAATATCTCTAGTTGAAAACCATTCTGGGAAAGCTTAACTCCCTGCCACTGTTGACTGATTCTATTCTGGCCATGATAGCACCTGATGTTTTTCACCAGTGTTTCCGTCATTTGACAAAAGTCTCGAAAAACATATCAATACTAGAACCAGGTAACATATTTTATATTTGGGATTACACTTTGTGAATAAAGTACAGATTCTAGTACTTTTGTTAGATTGGGTCCCATCAGCTATTCGAACCCACACTCTCAGACTGTAGGCTGGCGAATAGGTGCCTGACTCTGAGAGTGTGGGGTCAAATCTGTTACTTTTGACCACTTTCTAAATGGCATTGTGTATTCATACACTAAAACCAGTAGCAAATAACAATTGTAATAACAGGTTTTCATTTTAGCTGATAAGTATTGACAAATATTCTCTCATTTGATGTGTGTACAGTCTTTAACATGATCTGTTGCAGTTTCTGGTCTTTCCCTCCTTTGATATGTCTGGAATATTGCTAAAAATGGTGCAACATACTCAGTTACTCACCCATTCACTCACTAATACAAATGTCACATTGTGTTGTACCAACTGTATGTACACTAGTGATGCTATTTATTACAATAATGATTTATATTTCTGCAATATGTATGACAAACAACAGTTTTGTACTTGTCTGATGTTGCTATGCCCACAGTGCATGCTTAATAAAAACTTGTTGCTTATAGTTTTGCATTTTCAATCACAGTAAGAGGTTGCTTATTTCTTTATATCATAATTTGGTCACTTCCGTAAACTTTGCCAACAACATAAAAATATGCATGATTTTAAAAAGCACAATGTACTGTTATTTTCAAAATATATTGTGATTCATACTACAGTCTGTTTGACTAGAAAGTGCCCCCATGACTTGCTGAATATTATCAGTTTAGAAAGGTAGTTAATAAATATTATGAGGCAAGATGTTCATGAATAACTTGCACCCAAACACCTTTACATTAATTAGAAATTGTCATGCATCACAGAAAAAAGTTGTTTAACAAACTATCATCATTATAAACATGATTGTTGACAGTTGGTGCAGAGGGGTGCATGGCAGCAATGGGAATAGACAGGTGCATCTGATGCACGGGCATTTTGTGATAACTGCTATGTGCTGATGACGAAATGAAGTTCACTGTACAGGCAAAAAAAAGTTGATAATTAAAGTGTATGATTTCTTTCGTGCTGAGGTGGAAACGGGGAGGCCGTTTTATGCCAACGATAGGTATCAGAAAAGTGCTTCCAAGGCATTGGGAGTTTCTACACGGGCATTGAAACATATAATACAAAAGAGAGACAGTGTTGTCGACACAACGCATGTAGTGGGCATGTCAAAAGCATCAAAGGTTAATAAATTAGACAACTTCCAGAAATACCAAGTCAGACAGGCAATCACTAAACTGTACTCAGAAAACAAATACATGTCATTAAAACTATTACAGAAACACCTTGAAAACCAAAACAATTTGTCAGTAGCGAACTACACACTATAGCAACTCTTACATTCTTTCGGGTATAGGTGCAAAAATAGCAGGAGAGTATTGCGCGAACAATCAGATATCGTACGTTTGAGAAATCATTTTCTCAGGACTATCCAGGAAAAACGTGATGCGGGGTATGAGCTGGTGTATCTTCACATGATTCGGGTAAATGCATCTCATACCGCCAGCAGTCAATGGGTACCCGGTGGGAATAAGGGATCACGGAGGAAACTGCCACTGGGGAAGGGGGAAAGATTGATTATTCTCCATGCTGGATGCGCCAGCCAGGGCTTCCTACCTTGTTGTGATCTGGTGTTCAGAGCCAAGGCCAAAGACAATAGGGACTACCATACAGAGATAAATGGAGAGTGGGTTCAAAATAAGTTAGTTCCAGCTTTGCCAAATAAGTCCCTTATAGTCATGGACAATGCGCCATACCACAGCGTGCAGGATCCAAACATCAAAACTCTGACGTCTAACAATCGTATGGGATATATGATTGCTTGGTTGGAAAAATTCAACATCCCGTATACGTTGAAGCCTCAGCTGTATGAAATCATCAAAACCCACAAACAAGACCCCGTATTTAAAGTAGACACTTACATTAAGAGTAAAAGTCATGAAATATTGCAGCTACCACCATATCATTGTGATCTAAATCCAATTGAGATGATATGGGGTATTCTAAAAGGTGACGTTGCAAGATCAATACCACGTTTAAATTACATGACGTTGAGGCCTTGGTGACCGACTCGCTGGGTAAAATCAAGGTTGACATGTGGCAACACTGTGTAACTAGGGTTGTCAATGAAATTGAAGCAGGTTACTGGTCTCGTGATGGTCTCCAACAGGCAAATGTCGCACCTCCTGTTATTTCTATCAGCTCTGACTGTGATGCTACTGATGACAAAGTCACAGATCATTCAGAATAGATTTTGAGACGCTCCCCTCCGCACCTGATTATTCCCATTGCTGCCGTGAGCCCCTCCGCACCAACTGTCAACAATCATGTTTGTAATGATGATAGTTTGTTAAACAACTTTTTCTGTGATGCATGACAATTTCTAATAGATATAAAGGTGTTTGGGTATAGGCTATTCATGAACATCTTGCCTCGTATTATTTATTCACTACCTTTCTAAACTGATATATTTAGCAATTCATGGGGACACTTTCTAGTCAAACAGACTGTACATCATGTATGTGAGTATTTTATACCAAGTTATACTACTAATACCACAAGCCTCTTATGTACACGGATGATTGCCAAGTCTTATATTTCAGATTTTGTTTGTGGGTGAAGAGGCAATAGATGCCGGTGGATTGAAGAAGGTAAATAGTCTTTTTTAGTCTACGCGACTGACTGTCCAGTATTATCTGCAACTGTTGCAGGTGGTGTTCCTCGGCGAGGAGGCAGTTGATGAGGGCGGTGTCCGTAAGGTGCGACTCAACCTCGTGTATTTAGCATGTCAATTATTTTTACTGGACATTGCTACATGCTATTCATATCCTGAGAGGGCAACTTCACTCTCTCGATAACCTTGGTTTTAACATTGTTAATTGTGTTCTTCTGATCCATCAGTTTCAGAGAAGCAATACTCATTAGTTTGCTATATACAGTGATCTTGTTTAGAAAAGACACTGTCAAACCACTATTTTTAAACTGAAAACAGATGGATCAGAGGATTGTTGTTTAACTGTTGTTTGTTTCGAGCATGTTTTATGTTTTGCCTCATCATTTACTTGGGATTTCTTATCAGGCAGTAGGTTATGAAAATAATATCATTGATGTAATTATATAGTTATATATGTAATCATAAATTATGTGATGACATCTTATTCAAACAAAATAATTTTAGGGATGTCTTCAATTCAGGAAACAACACAAATGGCCTATGTTTCGTTTTTATGGTCTTCTTTGTGTTGTTGGCTATCAGTTGTCATAGAATCTAATAGTGATAAGCTTGGAATTATCAAAAGCATAAAAATCTCCATCTGCCTAGCATTGTTGCTACTGATTAACAAGTCTGTGTGGAAATTGTACCAGGTTTTACGTGACACACAAATGAGCGTCCAGAACACACAAATGTGGAGAATGGATGCAGAAAAAAACAAATCACTGTGTCGAAAGGGACATACATGTTATTCACAACACATCCATGTCTTTGCAAAGTGTTTGGTTTCTTTCAGAGCAGTAAGGTGCATCATTTCATCCATCAGTCCACATGATCAATGATTCATTCCAAGCTCTAAAGAAACGATCAAAACATAAAGTTCTCTACACTGTTACTTCACTTGACCCTTAAAACTAATATTTAGGTGTCCCCGGGACCCGCATGTTTGTGAGTCGACTTAGAACCCTGTTGTACCATATCCATTTTGGTGTGATTTTACCACACTGGTAAAGGTCTAAACCCTGCATCTTTTAGAAAAATCAGCATAAATAAAACTCAAATCACCAAGAGGAGATGAAGAGTGTGAAATGTTTGTCAGCATTTTAGCTGACAGAAGAATGCAGTCTACATTCTGTTATTCAACCCTATGAGGATGTGATGTAAAAATAGGCTGTTACAATTCAATCGCACATTCATAGAATTGAACCGTATCCCTTCATGAATTCAAATTTATATTCATGATCACTGAAATCAAATACATGTATTCATGATTTAATTTTTTTTGAAGGAGTGTTTTGACTTGAATTTGGTTGCTCTTCATCAAAACATGATGTGCGAAATGGAATATATCAAAGCAGGGCATTATAATAGCCAACACTCCTATGTAATTAATTTGACAGTAATGTGGACACTTGTCATTGTCGTGTACACTGTCCACTTGGTTATTACATGTCAAATACTGGTTCACTGAATATATTAATTAATACACCAACAACTGCTTTTGTATTCATTACCTGTATTCGTTACCCTATATTTGTTACCCAATATTCATATTATATTTGCATTATAGTGGATTTGTTGCAGCCCTAGCAAATACCATTCTCATACTGTTCCAGTAGTAATGTAAAATTGCTGATTTGGCATAAAGCAATATATATACACTCCCTTCCTCTGCCTCACCTGTTTTCTTCCATATTGAAATACTGAGATATCAAGAAAAAAATGATGAACAGATTTATATTTAGGTTTGTTTATTGATTGGTCTAACTCCTGTGTATTTACTTTGATAAGTGCATCAGTTGTCTCCCTTTAATTCATTCATAGCCTATAATTAAACTCCTGTTAGACTCCAAGGACTTTGTATTTACTGTTGTTGTACATGGCATTACAGTGTTGCTGTGTCTAGAAGTTTGTTTCAGTATGGCCATTATATGTTTTACTTATAATTGGCTGTTAGGGACCGTTCATAATTTATGGCTTTTGTGTGTGTGTGTGACTGAGTGGAAAAACTTTGTGACATGCAAATGCATGCGTGTGTGTGCATGAGTGAGTGAGTGAGAGAGAGAGATTGATGATTTTAAGGGGTCACCCATTTTGTTCTGGGGAGGTGGGGGTCATTGATTTATGAGAGCAAATATAAACTCTCCCAAGTATGGGATGTTCCGCTACCATGAAGAATCCCACATGCAGTGGTTTAACCCACAGGTACGGCCCGGAGACCTACCCTATGGTGGTGATGTCTGAAATGACTACTCAATATACAAAACATAACATATAAATAGCGCTCTTGTGTCCCAATGATGTAACCCTGGACGATTATTGATATGAAAGTTGTGTCATTGATAATCTCCTGTAGAACCTATTGTGACATAAAGTTATAATATACCCAAAATTTGTTATTATTGATTGCAGAAAACAGAAAGCAACTGTTATTATTAAATATTTAATGTCCACAAAGTCAGTGGTGTCAAACATGCTGTTTTCTTTTGGAGCATTTTGCACATTTGCACAACGTTACTTTTTAAAAATTTATTGATAATTGTTTGATATTAAGCTAATGATCATCGACTATCTATGATCAGACTAACCTGAAGTAAAGATTCAGTAATCACCATCGGGTAAAATACCCTTATCTCTTTGAACTCTCAACATTATACTACTGTCGTCATTGTCATAATCATCATCATCCTCACCATCAACAACAACTCTGTCAGCATCACCCTTGGCTCCACTGTTGCAGACATTTGAGGACAACTCCATGTTCCATCTGATCGGGATCCTCTGCGGACTAGCCATCTACAACTTCACCATCATTGATCTGCACTTCCCACAGGCGCTGTATAAGAAACTACTGAAACGGTAACCTGGCATTAGTTTCATGGCAGCCATGCAATTTGAAGATCATGTCATTCACCCTTTTGGAATATTGCAAGTAAAACTCAAGATCAATGTTGTGTTGACAACATTTTAAGGAATTTATTCAAAACTAAAAATGCTTTGAAGGCAATTTTGGAAAATATTTTGCTCAGAATGGAGACAATCAGCCTCTAGGCAGGTTTAGACAATTCCCTTGAACAGTTTGACCAATTGAGACCCAGTTCTCTTCAAACACATCACCCCTAAAGATACTTAGTCTTTGATCTGGGACATTTGTTTCAGAGTACCGACAATAGACGACATGAAACAACTTCTGCCTACTGTAGGGAGGTGAGTAGATATTCTAGTGCTGCAGTTGTGTAATGTCTGATATACCAGTGATGCCTGGTGTCAGTTGCTATGTGGAATATGATTGTGATATCTGACATGTCAAGGGCACGTCACTCTGTGGAATATGATTGTGATATCTGACATGTCAAGGGCACGTCACTCTGTGGAGTATGATTGCGATATCTGACATGTCAAGGGCACGTCACTCCATGGAGTATGATTGTGATATCTGACATGTCAAGGGCACGTCACTCTGTGGAGTATGATTGTGATATCTGACATATCAAGGTCACGCCCCTCCCTCGTGGAGTATGATTGTGATATCTGACATGTCAAGGCACGCGCTCACTCCACCGCGGAGTATGATTGTGGTATTTGACATATCAAGGGCACGCCACTCCGCGGGAGTATGATTGTGATATCTGACATGTCAAGGGCCGCGCCAATTCGCGGAGTATGATTGGGATATCTGACATGTCAAGGCAACGTCACCTGTGGAATATGATTGGGATATCTGACATGTCAAGGGCACGTCACTCTGTGGAGTATGATTTCGCGATATCTGACATGTCAAGGGCACGCCACTCCATGGAGTATGATTGTGATATCTGACATGTCAAGGGCACGCCACCTCCGTGGAGTATGATTGTGATATCTGACATGTCAAGGTCACGTCCCTCCGTGGAGTATGATTGTGATATCTGACATGTCAAGGTAATCGCCACCCGCGGAGTATGATTGTGGGTATTTGACATATCAAGGTAACGCTACTCCGTGGAGTATGATTGTGATATCTGACATGTCAAGGGCACGCCACTCCGCGGAGTATGATTGGGATATCTGACATGTCATAGGGCCGCGCCTCCGTCGGGAGTATGATTGTGATATCTGACATGTCAAGGGCACGTCACTCCGTGGAGTATGATTGTGATATCTGACATGTCAAGGGCACGTCACTCCATGGAGTATGATTGTGATATCTGACATGTCAAGGGCACGTCACTCCGTGGAGTATGATTGTGATATCTGACATGTCAAGGGCACGTCACTCCGTGGAGTATGATTGTGATATCTGACATGTCAAGGGCACGTCACTCCGTGGAGTATGATTGCGATATCTGACATGTCACGGGCACGTCACTCCGTGGAGTATGATTGTGATTTCTGACATGTCAAAGGGCACGTCCACTCGTAGTGGAGTATGATTGTGATATCTGACATGTCAAGGGCACATCCCAATCTGGAATATGATTGATGTGATATCTGACATGTCAAGGGCACGCCACTCCGTGGAGTATGATTGTGATATCTGACATGTCAAGGGCACGTCCCTCCGTGGAGTATGATTGTGATATCTGACATGTCAAGACATGTCAAGGGCACTCTGTGGAGTATGATTGTGGTATCGACATGAGTATGATTGTGATATCTGACATGTCAAGGGCACGTCAAGGGCACCCACGTGGAATAGTATGATTCTGACATGATATCTGACATGTCAAGGATATCTGACATGTCACTCCATGGAGTATGATTGCGATATCTGACATGTCAAGGGCACGTGTCAAGGCAAGTCACTCTGTGGAGTATGATTGTCTGTTGCAGGAGCTTGCAGCATTTGTTGGAGCATGAGGGGAATGATGTGGAGGAAATATTTGGCCTTACCTTTGAGGTGAGTATTTAGATTATCTCTCCACTGAATGTGTGTTTATAACAGGTGTGGCAATTAAACATATGGCCAGTTCACAATTGGTTTCTCTGGAGCAATCTGATTATCTATCACTTTATCTCAGCTAACAACAATGATGCTAACATTTACGACATTCTACTACAGTTTCAGATGGTCACAGTGGGTATGTATTTGGATGGGAGATTGGATTGTTTGATCTCATGCTGGGTGTGCCTTGAAATATGTATGACTAAAATACTGTTATATAAATGGCATTGATCATTCATTATATGGACCTGCAGTTTTCTGACCCTGACTCAGCTCAATACTTATTTCTTTATAATAGGTCTTTTGTTCAGTTTGATTTAGACATATTTTATTCAGTGAAGAAAGGGATTAGGAACAAGTTATCCAACTTAGGTAACCATCTCCCAATGGATTGAAGCTGATTCAATCAATGACGACTGCACTAGTAGTTTTTTAAAATTGTGTTGTCTAATTATGATTGTAATAGTCCACATAACAGTAAATTCTTTTGAAAATGATGCTAAGAGCCAAGTCTTCAAACCACACTGAAGCACATTACATGTGGTGTCTTCTTATGCAAGTTACTTAGTTTAAAAATATTGCTCTGATCAACCATCAGTGAAAGGGTACCAGGTGGGATGAGGTTTTAATGTTAATGTTAACCTTCTACCATCACAAGCTGTTTAGGTTTACTCCCCAGGGAGTTGAGAATAAAAATCAATTGCATACTGATACATCGATAATGTACAGCTTTGAGCATGCCGTAGGGTGTTAATTTGGTGCATGTTAAAAATATACTTTATTTATATGCTGTGAGTAACATCATCAATGACGTAACTGCCTTCCAGATCGCATCCTTGAAGGTCTGGGTTAGAATGAACCTTCAGTAACCCATGCTTGTCATAAGAGGCGACTTAACGGACCAGGTGGTCAGGCTCGCTGGCTTGGTTGACACATGTCATGTTCCCAATTGCACAGATCAATGCTCATGCTGTTGATCACTGGATTGTCTTTGTCCAGACTCGAATATTTACAGACTGCCGCCATATAGCTGGAAATATTGAGTAGTGTGGCGTAAAACTAAACTCACTCACACTCACTCTTCCAGATCGGTTGCACAGATGAGTTCATGGCCTGAGGTGTATCAGTTCACTTTACAGACCTATGTCCCTGTGATTGACAATATCTGCTGATAGTGGGATCGATTCCCAGATATCTACTGTCAGCATCCCCTGTTTTGTGTCACTTTAAGTGCAATGATCCACTTCAAGAAATTCCACATGACAGTAGACCTAATTAATTCACTCATGGGCTCCTCTGCAGATCACACTGGAGGTGTTCGGGGAGGTGAAGACCCTGGAACTGTGCGAAAATGGCAGCAAAAGGTGTGTCAACCAAGACAACAGGTAGGGTTCGTTTTATATGTGAATGGGAATAAGGTTCATCTTTCCTTTTTCACACATTATCACTGACTGATCAATTGCTTAACCTATCATGGCATGTTATCTGACATGTTTATTCTAAGGGACCGTTCATCATTTATGGCTAGGGAAGGTGATGATGATTTTAAGGGGTGGGGGGCATCAATTTGGTACACATGTACTAGAGGGGGGTCAGCAATTTTGTACATGACATGCAGGAGGTGGGTCAGTGTTCCAAGTTGTACATGAACTATAGGGGCAGTCATTTGTAAATGCTTCTCCATAAGAATCATTATCAACCCCTAGCTATAAATTATGAATGGTCCCTAACTGCAATCATTCATTAGAACTATACATGACGATATAAACACATTCACCTTTTTTGCATGAGCACATCAGTTTTGGTACTTAATAATTTGAGATAATCTGCCTCATATAGTTACTGGATTGTACCCAAAGTGGGGCTTCTTCTTGGTTCTTGTACCTTGCAAGCTATGCTGGTCATAAGAACCAACTAAATGGATCAGGTTGCACGACTTGTTTGATGTCATGTCAATGTATGGTGTGGATTGTGTTTAACAATATCAGTCACTGGATTGCCTGGTCCAAACTTGAATAACTAAAGGTTGTCATGAGATTGCAGGAATATTGTCAAGTGCAGTATTCAACAGCCAACACAAACTGGAGCATACATATAGTAGAGAACAGTAAAAAGCTGCAGCTGATGATTGAAACATTGAATATATTCAGTGGAAACTCAAATAATTTATTATGTCAGTGGATGCTTAAATTTACCTCCCTTCTACCAGGAAAGAGTATGTGGATCTCTACATCGACTTCCTGTTTAACAAGTCTGTGGAGAGCCAGTTTGATGCGTTCAGCAGTGGTTTCCTCAAAGTCTGCGGTGGTAATGTCCTGGTATGTATTCTGACGTTTTGTGGCGCACTGCTCATACCTTTTCTGCTGATTTCTAATACTAAAATGTAATTCTTAGACTGGCATAATGAAATGTGTGACTGTTTATGAGATGATTTGAACCTAAATACTAAACACGCCAAATACTGGTACATCCAGGAACTCCAGCATAAGGGGAATTTGAAAGGACATTCTTTGATAAATCCATGTAGTACTTCAGTGTTCTTTTATGTATGTATATTTTCATGTTTTGGGGTTTTTTTTAGCTATTCAAAACATGCACCAGTACATACTGAAAACCGTCTTCATATGAGCGAAATATTCTCAAGCACGACGTTAAACCCAATTTCACCTCACCTCACCTCACCTCACATACTGAAAATAAATCCCAATTTTTAAGTGAAGTTACATGTCATCATTAGGTTATTTATATTTGGACTTTATTCATTCAATTTACAAATTCATTTGAAGATATACTGCATGGAGCAGTGGGGGAGACAATCATGACTTGGTAGTGAGGTAACATAGTTCATGTAGTTGGTATTGACTTGTAACCGAATAACAAAATTCTACTATGGGATTGTTTTCTTAGCATAGTCACTCATTGTTAACTACAGTAGGTTCAACCTGCTTTTATCTGGTGCAACAAGCCTTGCATCTGCACATTTACTTGGTGCAAGTTGAACTTAGTTTATTAAATCAAGCTCTGTTCAGCTGACAGTTTAAAAAGACCTTTGAGGTTATAGGTATTTCAGCAGATCAATGATTTTATGAGGAAGCAATTGGCAGAATATGTTCACTGTAATGTCACATCTACTCTATTAATGAAATACCAGATCATTCCAAATTCAGACAGTGTTAATAAGTCAAGTGTATAGTGAAGATAAATCAGGTGAATAGTGATGATAAATCAGGTGAATAGTGATGATGGATCATGTGAACAGTGATGATGGATCGTGCGAATAGTGATCATAAATCATGTGATCCCTAGGTTTGGGTCCCGAGGTTGGCACATTTGCGTAGTATCCTTGGACAAGATACTTAGATCCACATTGTTTCAGTTCACCCAGCTGTAAAATGGGTACCCGTGAGGATTTGCTGGCAATGCGAGTGTTTAGTTCATTGCGCCTTACAGGCAGCATGGCTGTTTGATCCTCAGGGAGTTGAAAGATTGATGATGGATCATGTGAATAGTGATGATAAAACATGTGAATAGTGATGATAAATCAGGTGAATACTGATGGTAAATCTTGTGAATATTGATGATAAATCATGTGAATAGTGATGGTGGATCATGTGAATAGTGATGATGGATCATGTGAATAGTGATGATAATTCAGGTCAATAGTGATGATAATTCAGGTCAATAGTGATGATGGATCATGTGAATAGCGATGATGGATCATGTTAATAGTGATGATAAATCATGTGAATAGTGATGATGGATCATGTGAATAGTGACGATAATTCAGGTCAATAGTGATGATGGAACATGTGAATAATGGTGATGGATCATGTGAATAGTGACAATAATTCAGGTGAATATTGATGATTGATCATGTGAATAATGGTGATGGATCATGTAAATAGTGACGATAATTCAGGTGAATAGTGATGATTGATCATGTGAATAATGGTGATGGATCATGTGAATAGTGACGATAATTCAGGTGAATAGTGATGATTGATCATGTGAATAATGGTGATGGATCATGTGAATAGTGACGATAATTCAGGTGAATAGTGATGATTGATCATGTGAATAATGGTGATGGATCATGTGAATAGTGATGACAGATCAAACTCTGACATTCTTCTTCAGGAGCTGTTTCACCCTCAAGAACTGCAGGCAATGGTTGTGGGCAACGAGAATTATGATTTCATGGAACTAGAAAAGGTAACTTGAATTGTAATCATACATCATGAGTATTATAAAAAGCAAACATAAAATATAACCCCAAAGCCTAGTCTGCTTCCCTTCAGCAAAACTGATTTGCCAATTTATGGTCACTGAGAGAACATTGTTTTTTGTTAGAATGTATACGATACCGAAAGTCACTGTGTTCTTTAATTGGTTGATTGGTTGAAAAAGGTATTAAAATCCCTGAAATTTCAAGACTTTTTGCTGCGTATTAATACATACAAATATCGCACACTGTTTTGTTGTTGCGTCGCCAGCAGTGGTGACGTCATTCAAATCCTATTGTGGCGTAAAGTCGGAATGACGTCCCAAATGAGCAGCTCCAGATGCTACCATGGAAACCAGCTGAAACATGTCACTGCAGTACCCGTACTCGATATCAATGAGTGCAGATAGAAAAACTTGTGTGGACCTTTCGGTTTACAATGTTGATAAACATAACGTTGTCGGTTCCAAATGAATTCCGTGCTTCAAATAATATTGTCAATAACACCCGGAAATTGGCAACACGTGATGTTTATCTCCTAAGTGGACCAGACAATCCAGTGAGTGATTTGATGGCCTGCATTAACCAAGTCAGCGAGTCTGACCACTGGATAATGTTAGTCACCTCTTACAGCAAGAATAAATAGCTGAAGACCAGTTTTAACTTGAGGGTCTACAGGGAGTAACCATAGAAAGTAGCGGGTAGTCCTGGGTAGGTGTCCTGCAGAAGGTATTGCAGTATCACTTTGTGAATCTAATATTGGCTATTCATTGATATTGCATTGTCTATTGACTCAGGATCATACTTGAAGTTATGAGATAGGATTATAGCAATTTTCAAAGAAAATACAGTTCAGTAAGTTTCATGATAGTCTGACCATGTCCTTGTTACAGAACACAGAATACAAGGGAGAGTACCACCGGTACCACCCGACCATCAAGTTCTTCTGGGAGGTCTTTCATGAGATGGAGATGGAGGACAAGAAGAAGTTCCTATGTGAGTAGATCATTACAGTGTAACGATATATCAAACTTCGGCAATGTTCGGCAACGCTTCGCACAATGATAGTAAAAGTTGTGCCTGTAGGATTGTTTATAAGACGCATTACAATTAATAGTTTCAATGGTTGCAGTTATTTTTATTAGAATGTAAATTATGTAAAATCATGCCAGTTTTTTGGTAGCAATGACTACAAGTTGGGCTTAGAGTTACTTCCCTTTTGGCTTGAGTTGTGACAGGGAGGAAAACTGACTTTGAGGGAGAATAGGTATCTGACTTTGAGGGAGAATAGTGTGGTATTATATCTGTCAGAATACTTCTTACTTAACTTGAATAATTCGTGTAAAACTAAATGTCCTCTCATAGATCTCCTCTCTCATGTGTACATTGGATGACTTTCTCACATTACAACTAAAGCTATATCTTATGCAAAATCATTTTGTGCAAACAGCAGTGTGGTAGGATAGGAGGAAATCATCATTCTCCATGATGAACAAACAAGCTTGATCACTCAGTGTTGTTTTGACCTTCAGTATTCCTCACTGGCAGTGACAGGATTCCAATATTTGGGATGAAATATGTAAAGGTGAGTCAACTCTCTACCATGATTGTTACTGATTTTTCTGTACATTATATGTGTACAAAATATGTATAAACAAATATGAATCTTGTGTAAGCAAGGTCACAGTGTCACATACTGACTCAATCAAACTTTATTTGCTGAAAATATATAGTATGAATGAGTGAGAATGGGTTTATGCTGCTTCTAGCAATATTCCAGCAACATGACAGCTTGGGATGCCAGAACGTGGGGACATGGGCTGCACACATTGTACCCATGAGGAGAATCGAAACAGAGTTTTCGGTGTGACAAGCAAACCCTTAAAGGTCACATGCAACGTAAAACACAACTTTGCAGATTCTGATACCTTTCAGTAAACAAATCATCAAAAATGCAAATTCAACTTATAAAGTTGAAAAATAACGCGATGAAAACAACCGCGCGAAATCGGAGTTCAAACGATTCACTAATTTTCCCCAAGCGCTTTGGGGAAAAGTGGTTTGAACAGATGGGCTGCGCTCATAGCACATGCCCAGTGAAATAGGTTCGCGCAGCTTGGAAGCGGGTTGTCCGGTGAATATCGTTGAAGGCTTTAGTGTGAGCTATTTTTTTAATGTTTTGTTGATATTTCGCAGGCGCAAGCTTTTTATATGTTATGACAGTAGATTACCGATTTATCTGTTTATATAATTTCATTTGTCTATTTCACCACACATTCTTCTTACCGAGTCACTTTCTCAGTTCGATACTTCAAAGCAATGTCATTATTTAGCGTTGACAGAATTTCTAACTGTGATATAGATATGTCGTTGTCACAGACAAAACTCAATGTCTGTTTTATTGACACCTATGTGTCTGCCTGCCTGTCTGCTAATGACAATATTCAATGCACAACTTTGATCACTGACCACATGCAATTTGAACTTAACACCTATCAGGCTATACACCATAAACAAAACGCATTGATGTATGGCCCGAGTTCAGTCTCTGTCACATTATGTAATTACACAGACAGGCAGGTGTGATACTTGTACATATGACATGTTATGATGTCTGTTGATTGCAAAATGTTATACGCAGAAAATGAGCATGTATTTACTTTACAAAACCCAACATCTCTATATATACATGTACACACACAATGAGCCATGAGGGCATCTGCAAATGAACCAGCCGTTACACTTGAGTGCACACCCACCCGCTCTGACTGGGTTCGGTATCCCGGCTGCTTCGTTTCTTGGGAAGTAAAACCAAGTACAAAATATTGCACTTTTGATTTGCAATTGTATGCTTATAATTTTGTTTATATGTTTTGGTCATAATCAGCAATGTATATTATATGTCATGAATAAGTGATAATTGTGTTTAAATTATGTTTGATTTTTTGGTTGCATGTGACCTTTGCTCCACTGGGCTACCTCATCGCCCGAGTATGAATAAGGAAAACATTTGCAGTTGGTTTTTATACACCACAATTTTTCCATTAATTTACTTTGGACAAAATGTAACATTTTCCTGTCAACTAATTTATTGTCAATAACCTGGTTGGCCTTCAATAGAAACTCCTAATGTAAATTATAAGCATACATTCCCTCTGGATTATGGTAGCCTTATTAAAGTGGATTCACAGAATCTTGCTACAGAAAATCAAAAGAAATTCTAAATGCCCTTCAAAGATTTAATTTACTTTGGACAAAATGTAACATTTTCCTGTCAAACAATGACTGTGCCTGGTTGGCCTTCAATAGAAACTAAATTGTATTTTCATTTGTCCACAAGAACTGTGTTATTTAACTGTTCATGGAAGTCAACAAGGAAATGTTACTTGTCCTTTCTTCCTGAATTTACGACTTTCAAGACTCACAGACTTTTAACCACTCACACCATCAGTCCCTAAACAGTGTTGTGTGTCTCTGATGATTGTAGTAGCCAGACAGGCAGCCTAGCTATTACATGACAAAGCACAAAGCAGCCCAAGCTGGTCAGGCGACCAGATGTACTGGGGACACAGGCATTGTTCACAATATCATTGGATTGTGTGGTCCAAGCTCTATTTTGCCATCACGTAGCTGGAATACTGCTGAGTGAAGGTAAAACAAGGAAGAAAAAACATAATAGATGAGTGAATAGATTTAATGTCTTGTGTTTTGTCTGTATACATCTCCTGATACATGTGTTTTGTCTGTATACATCTCCTGATACATGTGTTTTGCCTGTATACATCTCCTGATACATGTGTTTTGTCTGTAGACAGTATGTGTCTCCTGATACATCTCCTGATACATGTGTTTTGTCTGTATACATCTCCTGATACATGTGTTTTGTCTGTATACATCTCCTGATACATGTGTTTTGTCTGTATACATCTCCTGATACATGTGTTTTGTCTGTATACATCTCCTGATACATGTGTTTTGCCTGTATACATCTCCTGATACATGTGTTTTGACAGATGGTGATCCAGCCTACAGGGGGAGGGGACAACTACCTGCCTGCTGCTCACACTTGCTTCAACCTCCTTGACCTGCCCAAATACACACGGAAAGATGTCCTCCGAACAAAGCTTCTCACTGCCATTCAACAGACTGAGGGATTCGGTTTGGTCTAATCCAGACTTCAGTGTTGTGCTTGTCAGTTTGTACCAGCTATGACTGGTACCATTCAGTTACTCGGTCTGTGCTGGTTGAAACTGGTACCTACCTTTGCTTAGTTTGTTAAAGTCAGCAACCTAGCAGCTGAGACTGATGAAAACTGAACTCATTTCCCAGGGAAATGACCTGTACAAAGAATAGTGTACAGACTCCATTATATCTTCCAACCGTTGTATAAAATATTACAAAACATTACAGGTATTACAATGTCACTTGACTAATGTGAAATGTGGTTTGCTGATAATACTTCATTGTCTGTTGTCTCATGTTCATACAATGCTAAAACAAGTAAAGGACTAATGCTATGACAAATTTACTTATAATATAAAGGTGTCAGTTGACCCTGTACTTGTTTTGAGCAGTATATGTGAAATTCTCACAGTAAATCTGATGGTGATTGTTACATTTACTCATCACATCCTGTCTCACTCCCAGCAATAACCTTATTGTAATTGTTGGTGCTCTGTGTGAAGATGTGGGTGGCTCAGCAACAATCCATGTGCATCATCCCATTGTCATGAAGACCCCTCTGGATGCTCACCAAGTCTGTCTCTTAAGATTGCCCTGGACTACTACAGAAGGCTGCTGATGGATTGTAAAGCAGTATGTTCAAACAAGGTTTATCAATCAGTAACTCGGCGAAGATTTACAGCTCTAGCTAAATAGATGTTTAAACATTCCTCTAATTAATCTCTTGGACTACCTGACACACAGCTTATGTTAAATTATATTGTCAGTGTTCTATATTATTGTGAGGAAGCAATGCCAGCTTGTAAAGGGTTGTCTGAAAACAGTGACTGAGTGAAAGTTGCTCTAACGCCACATCAACAGTTGTGCAGCTAGTTGCAGCTGTCTGAAACAGACCCAAGAACTAGATTGTTTTAGAAAATAAGAATTACTCTTACCAAGTTAACTGTTAACTTATTTCCCACAATGGAAGTGTATACTGGGTCTGAACCTTCAGTTTGAATGTTTCCAGTATGTGTACACATGCTCCTTCCTTGAGGTTTTCTCTAATTTGGTCATGTTGCCTGATATGCAGTAAGAAGTAAGGGTCTGTCATAGACTGGGACTCTAGTAGTTGTATGTAAGGACCCACTAGAATGGCATTGTTAACATGTAATGGAAAGAACCCTTTGAATTTTGTCATGAATTCAAACACTGTTGTGTAGCACAAGGTAGCAAGAGAAGTTTCTTCAGGGTTCATTCTTAGTCCTGTTCTACAGCCATACCAGTATCTACTATTTACTGTACGGGAGCAACCATTTGAAAAATATTACCTATGCTCCCCATGTTGAAAAATATATAATGTTCTCTGTCTTTGCATACTTTATTAACGTTTCACGACATGTTTGAAGTTGGAAGAACATCATGAAACTTACCGTGTTAAAGAACTTAACCATAACTGTTTCATGTCTGCAAAGAAACAGTTCATTACTTTTAATTATTTAATTTTCTTTTTAAATTGAGCACCTGTAATAGTTTATGCTCCTCCACATTGCTAAAATTAAGAAAATCCCCCACCCCTACTTAACCAAATGGTTGCTCCCTAACTCACATAACTTCATCAATACCATATCTTTGTTATGATAGAGTCATATCCTAATGGGGCGGATGGGTAGCCTAATGGTTAAAGCGTCCGCTCGTCACGCTGAAGACCCGGGTTCGATTCCCCACATGGGTACAAAGTGTGAAGCCCATTTCCGGTGTCCCCCGCCATGATATTGCTGGAATATTGCTAAAAACAGCGTAAAACCACACTCACTCACAGTACCTCACTGGTGTCATGGAGGGTACAATGAGGCCTGTATGGCCTCAGTGGCTTCTCACAATGACCAGTGTTTGAAAGGCAAAATAAGGGAAGAAGGTTGAAGGTTCAGTAAAAAGATCGGCTTACTGCTTACCTCTGTTACTCATTTCCTGTTATATAGATGTGTATATTTGGCAGAAAGCTGTTAATGCAATTAGACACATACTATTTCTTTGTTTCACGCACACATTACACAAAATACAGCATACCTTCTCTGGTATAAACACCAGACAGATCTAAGTCTGACATACCTGAGTAGCACCTATTGACACCGAAGTATATCCACAAGCCAGCATCTATTTGTCAGTACTTGAGATGAATTGATCTTCTTTAAGTGTGAGGTTGTAATTCCAGTTTAAACACAATGGAACTGGGAAAAATGGCAGAAGTAAATAGTTTGTGCGCTGGGCCTACATTTTTTAAACGTTCTGAGCCCTAAGAATGCATAACTTTGATCGTAGCCAATGTGTTAAGAATGGGCTTAAGAAGTTTGTGGGGCTACAAACGTTTCGAAAATCTAGGCCCTTGTTACTGTTGAATTAGTGTGATAGTGCTAGATGTCCAGAACGCTGACAGTCAGTTTGTAACCATGGTAACTGGTATTTTGTTATTTGTATAGTTTTACAGTAAGCAACATTAGTAAATGTGATGTATATAAATACCAAATAACATTTTGTTGTCAGGGAATATCTAGTAGTCAGTTTTTTATTTTTCAACACAGGGACACTGATTGTTCAGAATGAATCAAACTTGTATGGCTGTCCCAAAACCTTTTTAAAACATTTCCCTGTAAACAAAATTGGACACAATTGCTGTCAGAAAACATATCATCAAAATGTTTGGAAATTCACCTTAATCTTACATATATTTAAAGCTTATTTTCTTAATGGCGTAATATCAATGATAGTAATATTCTCTCTGACACGCAGTGAATTCAGTTGCTGTGAGTATGCATATATATTTATCCAATAGTCATACTTTTCAAGTCAAAATCTCTAGTGTATTGTTCCACCTGAGCATTATTTGATTGTGTACAGCTTTAATTATAGCTTTCCTTTGTTTGTTAGCTTGATTGTTGTGTGTATCTGCAGCTTCAGGACTGATGCACTTACTGTTTCACCATCTCTTTTACATGATGGAGACAGCAAGATGAAATCAAATGAAATTGCAAAATAGTATAAGTATAGAAAAATAAGAATAAATTCACAATGTTTAGTGAATTTGTTTTGGAATTATTTTTCCATGTAGCACTATGATGGCCTCTGTGGCAGATCATCTTTTTTTCGCTCATATGGTTTTCATGTAAGCCTATCATTAAACAAATGCTGCTCATTCTCATGATTCTGTTGCAGTTACCCTCTACCTTTTCTTGGACACCCCTTCCTGGGGGCTGTTTTATTTAACGACTTGGGTTGTGATATTGTACTTACTTTACCTCATATTTTTTGCATAATTATAGTTTTGATTACAATAATGTCTGAAGACATGTCATAGATTCCTCTTTTTATTATTTGCTCATTTTTGCAGCACCGCATTGATGGTGTGCATATTCGAAAATGAAGGCAGTGATGATTTGTTGTATTTCGGGAACTGGCATATCTCAGTCTAAGTAAACTTAGGCTCAGTATTATTCATTACACTGCTATACTGAGTCTAACAAAACCTAGTAGAAGGTCGCGTCAGCTAACCTTTGAGCGAACTATGACCATCCACTCAAACATGAGACAGCCGAACGGATTTTACCAATCAGACAACGACTACTTGTTAGGGTTCGGCTGGACTTACAAAACGTTTTTTTGGATTTTCTCTTCCCTGGTCGCTGACACTGATCTATCAACAAATGAAAATCTGCATAAAACAGAGATATTGGACCTGCGGTATATACGCTTAGGGGTTTCTAATGACATGGTTACTATTAGCTTATATTTCCGCAAGATGAAATCCTTGAATATTGACTAAAACGCTATTTTCAGCGACTGTTTACTCATTGCGTGTATCACTCGGAAGCGATCTTGCGGAAAATAGCATTTGGAATCATTCGAGTTTTTTAGGTAAATGTTCAAACGGTATGTGCGAATGTTAACTTTCGCGATTTGGTAAGCTGTGTTCTGATTGGTCAGTCCAAAAGGTTAGCTGACGCAACCTTCTACTAGGTTTTATTAGACTCTGTATAGAAGTGTAACGAATAATACTGAGCCTAAGTTTACTTAGACTGTGACGTATCTGAAAATCAACCATTACAGCTTATATAATGTATTGTAAAACTTCTACATTTCATTGTTCACAGGAGGCCATCATCTTATTAAGCAATTTCCCAGAGTATCAGATATATGTTTATAGGCTTGACGTTTATTCACCATATGCATATGCTTGTCACAGTATCAATCAATTCTGGGGCAACTTGGCTAAAATGGCAGAGCAGTGCCTGAACTGGATCTAGCTTGATTTGTGTTCATTCCTTGACAGGTGTGTCTCGGTTCGTTGTGTTGCTGAATACTGGCAGTAATGACCTGGTTGTTTTGGAGGGTCGTCACACTGACACTTAAGATCTGTTTGTTTTAGTTGTTCTTCACACCGACATTTATGACCTGGTTGTTTTGGTGTGCCTTCACACCGACACTTATGACCTGGCTGTTTTGGTGAGTTGTCACACTGGAACTTACAACCAGTATATTTGGCTTCTCATCACGCTGGCAGTTATGACGCTCATAGTCAAGTTGATCCCAGAGTAAGAATAAATACACTGAATGTGTGTGGATCACATGTCCCAAAACTGGCTTACAAACTCTCATTTGGTCACGAACCTACATTTGACCAGTTGTTTTCATTTCAAACTTCTTGAGCAGATCCCAATAACCTATGGTTGTGATGATTGGCAATCATGTTGTGGCTACTCTTTGCATCATGACTCCTTGTATTGGCGACTGAACAACTCTCCTGTGACGTCCTACCTGTGTGTCATAGTAGTGGCATGTAGGACCACTGGTACTGTTATCCATTTAAGGCCAGTTTGAATACAGCTTAAACCACCCATCAGGCACTCTTTTCACATCAGCTTTGTTTATATATACAAACTCAACCAATTGGCAAAGTCTTGCAAACACAATTCTCAATTGTATCATCAGTGTTTGTTCTTGAATGTCCTGCTGATCTCCAGCAAGGCTACATCACTGGCAGTCCCACTGTGGGCTGTTTATGACTGATGTGTTTGTATATTATGTACAGTTACAATGTTATGATTCTGTAAGAAATGACATCATGCTTTGTATTATGTACAGGTCACCTTCACAGACTGGATTAAAATATGACATGCTTGTTTTACTTGTCGGTTTTGTGGGGTATAGGGATGCTTGTGATGCCGAATATAAACGTTCAGTTAGGGACAGGGACTATAGTTTGGGGCAGCCTTGTTGGATTTCTTGATGCAATGCACTGCGGTGTAATTTTGCTTACATCAGACAAGAGATCTGTCTGGCTTGAATTCAA